GGGGGGGGGGGGGGGGGGGAAGGAGGCGTGATATCTTTTGCAACCGTCGAAACACCTGCTTCCACTGCCACCATCTTTGTTGCTGCGGCATACGCTCTGCTGCTGTTCAATAGATCAGACTCGGAATGCCCCTGGCGCGAATGTACTTCATGGCGTGTCTTAACCCTAAATGCACATCAGGGAACAGAGAGCTCGGAATTCCCTGTTTCCTGTTCCTTGTATTTGTGTCTTAACCATACCACATACAACAGCACTCAGGCATGGAACACGGAACATTTCAGCATGCGCACGCGGCCCGCAGGTACTCGAGAGCAACAAATGCAACCATTGGAGGCGGACAGACGAGCGGGGGGTACAGGAAGGGGGAGTGGTGATGGTTTTCAAGGAAGCTGTTGACTATAGTAAATAGCACAAATACCCAAAAGGAGCAACCTGTGAGTTATGTTGTGCTTCCACGTACGGTTTTTGGTGTGGTCGGCCAGTCAGACAATCATTCCGAGTTCCCTGTTCCCTGCTCCCTGTTTTGGAAAGGGGGTTTAAGACACGCCCTCAGTACGTACAGTACTCCGGGTCGTTTTGGCGCAGACGCGATAAAAAGTCAACTCTGTTTCGTGGTAATTCCAGTCCGAGTGAAAGTGCTCATTGTGCTGCCCTGGTCTGCTCGGGTTGCGTCCACGCTTCTATCAACAATCCGATGCATGGACGCCAGTCAGTGTTGAATATGTGGTGCAAATCATGTCCGTTTATTGCACAGATTTTCCACAGCACCACAAGCAAGCACGAAAGCATGGAAGCATGGAAATCGTGGCGATTTGCCCCGAGTTTTTGAAAATCCAATAATTCTGAGCGCTTCACGTCTATGTTTCAATGACCTGCGGAAGTCTCATGCACTACTCGCGTCTGTCACCCACACCTTGCGTCTCTTGCGACTTGTTGTTTGCAGGCGCCGCACAGCACGCGAAAGATGAAGCTTACGAGGAAGCGACCTACCTCAAAACCAACCGCTTTTTGGCTGCCTACGTGGTCAACGAACAGAGCAGAGCGTCTTACATCAATGACCTCCTCAATGACGGGTTCCACCATGTGCGAATTGCTGCTAACAGTATTTAAGCACCAGCTTGTACCTTCGGGTTCCACAACAATCTCAATCGCAATAATTTTCCACATGGTTTATCGTACCATGAGATCGGCAAGGCGTATTTGCGAAAACTATAGTATGGGCAGACACAGAGCAGGTTGAGCGGAACACAAGTGAGGGTTGATATACCATGTCCTCGCCACCTTTGGGTGACACTTTTGACATCAGATGTATCAGGCAGTTTTTATGCAACCGGCCCTGGCGAGCAGGAGTGTTGCAGGTGCAGAATAACCTATAAGACGAGGAGAGATAGCGCTCATAACAGGTGGTCGCACCATCAGCCTCCGCTGTAACTGCATCGTCTTTTGGAACGGTGACCTATTTTTCCATAACGCCGCAATATCTTACTCTATGGGCTGAAGGGGTCATCGGGAGACGGCTTGATGCAGAAACAATTGCTTGAAGGTTGTACCACCCTTTTCCGGTACGTGCGCTTTTGTCCCGGTCGTCACCAGGTAGGTGACGGCGCTGGCAGCGAACGAGACGCGCATAGTGCTTGCGCTGGGTCCCGCTCGGCCATCGCGGAACTGTTAGCATTGACGGAAGACTTCAAGAAGGAGGTGAGTAGTACTGATTCGGATTGACGAACAGGCGTGCTTTCCAGACTCCATGCATCATCCCGGGCTACTGGCGACCCCAATGTATGCAAAACTTCCAGTGCGTGTTTTCTTGTTCGTTTTCACTTTTGTTGCAGATTCTCCTTCGTCAACCGTATATATCCCCTCTCCCCCTCTCTTTTCAGATGCAAGGCGTCGAAGAACTGCGACGTGGGACACAAGGCAGTGAGACATCAGAGGGGCAGCTGGATGGTGCCGTGACAGCCGCAAAGATCGAACGTTTTTGTGAAGAGTACATGTCCCTTGTGGGGCGCACAATCTCGAGCAGGCTTATGTTGGAATTATCGCCCTTCATGGAGACCTCAGTCGCGGGGTCGTCGTCCGCACCCGCGGAGTCTACGCGGGCAGAGCTCGTCGCAACGAGGCGAAGACTCGATGAGGTACAGCAGGTGTTATTTTTGTGCTGCCGAGGCAAGCTCTACGCCCTCCCTCGATTTCATTGAGCAAGCGCGTTCCCGTGTTCCAAGGCCTGGTGCCGTGGGTTCAGAGATGCGAGTCGTTTCCTTGTCGCTTATCGCGGAAAATCCCCCATGCAAGAGGTTTTACTCTGTTGTACACGACGGTAATATCAGATGCCCTTTATTCAGCACTGGTTGGTTGTTTGCTTCTTGCAGGCGTACGCAGCGACTGAGCAAGTGGTGATCCTGGGGACCAGGGCTTGGTTCGTGGATATCCGCGAATACTTCCTGGACTGCGCGGGCCTCGAAGTTGCGTCGTCGAGACCACCCACACCTCCGCCCGAGGTCGCTACTCAAACGGCCGCCTTCAGTCCACCTCCAGCGGCACCTGCAAGCGCCCCCATACCACTTTCAGCTGGAGCAGAAGCACAGTCACGAACAACGCCTTCAGCGGGGTCTTCGAGGCGGCCGTCTGCGAAAGCGTTGCTGCAAGTGTCGAACGCCTTTTCCGTTGCAAAGGCCGCAACGAAGGACGGGGCCACAAAGATTGGCACTAGTTGGAACGCCAAGGGGCGAAGTACCGGCAAATCCAAAAACTCAAGTGATACAGATGATGCTCCCGTAAGAGGTAGCTCCCCTGCAGATCAAGCCGGGGCCGGTGGAAAGGTGAACTCCACGCGAGGAGTCTCGATGTCGATTCCGGGTGTTTTCAAGCGAGCGTCTCGCACGGGCACCGAAATGGAGGAACGGAGTGATCTGGGTAAACCAGCAGATGGGTCAACACCGGTAACGATGTCCCCTCGAGGCAGTGGTGGGCCGACTTCGGTAGCCGAGTCTCAAGCGGTTCAGTCGAGCGATGCTGAGGTTAATGTGGTCATGGAAGGAGGTGGTGGAAAGCCGGTGAGTCCGGCAGAGACGGAAGAGCAGCAGAGATCGGACTTGTTTGGAGGATCGTCTCGAGGTCCCAGCACATCTCCGCGTGTCCATGGAGGGAAAAACTCGCCCGTCCGTCGAGGCAAGACGGAATCTGTGTTCAGTACGTCCTCTGCTTCCACTGCAGTGCCGCCATCTGCAAGCGAGCATGTTCGAAGTGCACTTGTAAACCCTTCCAGCACCACAACGAGCGCGTCATCACTGCCTTCGACTACTGGGTCGGGGGCTAGAAAGGAGAAGAGAGCGTTTGCTGGGGGGCTTTGGGGAGGTGGCGGAGGCAGCTCTGGTGGAGGTGCTTCTGCGGGAAACATGAACACGGACGCAAGGGATGGATCAACGATGGTCAATACCACAGTAGCCGACGAAGGCCAACTGCAGTCTGTTCCTGCTGCTATATCGAAGTCTAAACCATCGGGAGGCAAGAGAAGATTCGCGGGCGGAGTGTTCTCAGGCCCGCCTCAGCCGCCATCCCAGCTAAACGCAGCACCTTCCGACGGGGTCCAAAGCGAGAACCCGTTCGCAGGCGCCAGCGACGCTACGACCATGCGAAGAGATGGAAATGGTGCCACCCACAAGTCTGTGTTTGGCGCGAACGAAACCGTTTCATCTTCGATTCGTCGCGAGGAATTGCCGAAACCGCCGCGAGAGGTGGAGGAGCCCTTGCCAGCCTGGGCGACAGGAGCCGGCGCGAACGAAAGCGTCCCCGATTGGGCGGCGAATTCATCCATGGATAAACCCTCTAAACCGCCCAGTGGCTACGGGCTAGCCCCTCCGTCCCGACCAGAACAGGGACATCCACTAGCAGCCGACAAGAGTCCGTTCGTGCAGAGAGAACCAGACGCCCCTCCTGCGAGAAGACCTAGCCAGAGGCGACCGGGGGAAGCCGGGTCCCGCAGGGCGTTCGGGGGCGGTGAACGTCTATTTTGACACCAGGAATATATTTTCGGGGCGTAAATTGCGAGAGGAGTAGCTTCCGGGCTAGAGAGTGCCAACGTTTGAAGCTGAACAGTGTATTCACGACGTTGGACTCACTCTCAAACCTGAGTTGATCGTTCTGTGTGTGCGGTTGATGTAGCGTGTAGGAGCAAGGTAATAGGCTCAAGACGTTTCTGGTTCTAAACATGTGCCGCAGACGCGGCTCGGGCAACGCGGCTCGGGCAACGAGTCCCATAAAGTGTTTTTTTGTGTTGTCGACAAGTGTTGTGGCAACGAATGAACTTTCGTGACCCGGATTGTTCGCGATATGACCTGAACCTTTTCTCAAGTGGGCAGGACACACCTTCCTGTGTGACCGTCAGTCTAGTATCAAACCAAGCACCCAGGACCGGATCCGGCACAAACCAATTCCCTTCTGTCATTGGACGTTGCTTTCCTACTGTCTGAATCAATGCGCGCAGCACATGATCCCTGGCCGGTGGAACAACGAAATTGAACGCAATACTCCTCCCGGGCTACAGGCCACCCACGAATCTCGACACGACTTCAGGAAAGTCCCCTTTTTACCCCTCGGGAATTTCATGCAAGTGCCTTTCTTCGTCAAGCCTCGGCATGCGACGAGACGGTGTTTTCAGCAGCTTTCGGTTCGAGATACTTCGAATTATTGTCAACAACGTTCCCGCGCTCTTGCCTGAACATGTGTATCTACGCTCGAGACAAGCAAACGACAACATATGTGATGTCCTAAAACTGGTTCGCGATAAAAAATATCGAAAATGTCTACTTATCACGGTACCATTTCGAAACTCGGCTTCGCCAACCGGCTTTCTCACTCTTCCCAGGCACCTCTCCGCTATCGCTATTGTCGTCTTCAGCTAGTACGACATCGCCGTAAGCGCTACCGCTGTGCCCTATACTCCATTTTCGTTGCTTTCTGGAATGCCGCAAGGGCCGAGGTTTCCGAGGAACTACCGGTGCTGACTGGTCGACATTTTCTTCGTCACTACCATCGTCAGCATGGCTCCTCACGTCCGAATCGTCTTCCGGCGCCATCGTACCAGCAGTGCTCCCATACCGGGTGTCCGAAAGCGACTGGATCGCCGTGCCGCCAGATGAAAACACCCGTGTGATGTCCTCCGTACCGAAGGCCGATTTGTGTTGATTCTCGCCTTGATCACGCGGTGGTGCTTCGGAGGAGAAGCCGCCATCTTGCCGAAGAGGCGTCGCTTCTGAGAACGGGGCGGTGGCGAACGTCGTTGTTGGCGTAGCATCGACGCCGGCCACGCTCGCGGTGTGGGTGCTGTCTGCGCAGGTGAGGCTCGCGAGGGCGATGCGCGTTTGCCGGGATTGTCGTGCTGCTTGAACCGCTAGGATGAAGGCTCGACCCCGCCAGCTGTAGAAATTGTAGCCGAACACCCCGACGCAAATTAGCATAAAGTAGAGGTGAAACCTTTCAGGCGGCCAGGGTGATGGGAGTGTGGAAGGTAAGTGCAGAGAGGGAAACGTCAGGCACATCGGTTAGATTCGACTACTGTAACGTGAAATCTACATCTTCTAAGTCAATTTACCCGTGGTACATGATGTGGAAGTTAAGTACTCCGGGGTTGCTGCATGATACCAGAATTCTAGGCTGCGCATTAAGGCAGGAGGGACCAAAGAACGAGCATACAATTACCTACCTTGATGTACGGTAGAGCCACAACTGAAGAAGCATGTGGGACACGAGAATCACCACCATCGACAGACACTGCGTCGCTCCCAGGGGGTGAAACCTCCGTCTGACCTTCGTCAGGGCCTTCCCAATCGTCTCCACCTGCACCGCGTCCAATAGCGCAAGCGAGTGCGTCAGAGAAAAGCCTATTTCTGCCGGTGGGATGCAGGCCGGTACAGCTGAAAGGTGTCTTGACCACAAAAACGTCGCATGAACCCATGGCGTACGCGGGTACTCCCGTTTTTGTTTCCCCACCCAACCCGACAATCAACTACGCTACGGCCGGGTACAAGCACTTCCAAAGTTAGCTTCACAAATCCTCTGTCGGCAAGCATGCATAGAAAACGCCATTGATATGTTCACATCAAAGTTCTTGCTGGGGATTAGTTTCGGTACCTGTCGTTGAGGGGATAAACCGGCCTTTGCGAAACTTCGTCTTCCGATCTGTTCCACGACAGCGGGAAGCTTCTTGGTCTTTCGAACCGTCAAGTACATCGCCTGCATCTGCAGCGACACCATCCCATCGCATCGCATTGGCAACGGTGGGGCGAGCGGGGAGCGAACGGGTACCGTTACGTCGAACGATGGCTTTTTTTATCTCTTCACGCCAAAATATGGCGCTCCGTCGGGTGTTCCAGGGCAGGTTGTCCATTGTGCAAGCTCGAGCTTCGTAAGATGTAGCACGAACAAAAGCGCAACACATTATTCACGAGTGCGGTTGGTTCAAAACACGCGCCCCCTTTTCATTGAACATAATTAGAGGTCTTCACACGTTGTCCAGGTTCGTTCCAGATTTGCCACGTACACATGCATCTATATTGTTTCTCCCCAACAGTGTCAAACCTGAAGCCACCTACCTTGCGATCCTCGGGCGCGTCAATGGGCGGCAGCAGCGACTTCTTGGAAATGTTCTCCTTTGCTTTAGCCTTCGCCGCACTCTTAGCGGCATGTCCCATCTCTATCAGAGGGACAAAAGACAAACATGACAGGGGTGACATGGCTTTGTTCACGTATCAATCACCGACCATGTAGTTGCGGCATGGTGTCAGTTCAATGTTTTCTGCCGAACGACAAAAAAAGTCGTCGACATCGTGTCACACTTGTCAGGAGTGGAACCGCGTTGCTCGAAACCCGCGCCCAATCGGGAGGCCCCGTGAACACAATCAATTTCCACTCAAACCTGCCTACTCGTACCATGTGAGTTTCACGCGGATGCTGCGCACACGATCACGGAAGCATATTCAAGGCAGCCTTCCGTTCAAAGTACTAATTTTGCTGTGCAGCAAGCCACAGTTTTCTCTCGGGCCTCAGGTTCAAGAATATGATTCTCGCTGTCTTGAGCAACACACCATGCAACACCGCACGTCCCGCACTCCCGTTTGTCGTTGTATGGGGACGAGGACGTAAGGGATTCGTGGGAAATCTCACCGACGTCCACGTAGTCTTCATCATCTTCCCGCTGCGCAGCAAAATGTTCCCTGAGGGGCAGGGGTTGAGAAAATGCAAGTATCGTAGGGATGGGATAGATGCAGCAAGGTTGTGAGGGGAACTGTGGGTGGCCTTGCACAGTTGTCCAAGAGCAATGACTTGGTGTGTGCCTTCTCTTCGGCCCGTCTAGTTTGGACCCACGATACAACGATTCGAACTACTTCAATCTCATGAGCCCCGCATCAGTTGGGTTGTCTGCCGCACGTGTTGCAACCACACTGTGGCAATCGTGCTTACAGGTACCCCCGGATGGCAATCCGCATAAGAGCTCCGTTGATCACGACCATCAGAAGGCAAGGGTGCAGCAGCATTACCACAAGCGCGACGAACCAGGCGAGACTGCGACAGAAGCGATGGTAGCAAGTAGGGGGGTGACGGGGTTTGCAAGAAACTCGAACGTACAAGCATGGCATGAAACAAAAAACATCGTACACAGAACGTCGTACATAGAACTCATCGCAGAGTATCCAAGCGCAAGCCCGATCGGTTCTGTGGTCACACACAACTTTCTCATGGGGGGGACGAACGTTCGTGCGGGACCGCCAAAATCTCCCCAAAAAATGTACACGGTGAAAATTGAATGCAATCGACGCGTTGAAGCCACGCCCTCCCCACTGGTGTCGACTTGTGTGCGTTGGGGAGGAAGCTAAAAACGACCTTGCAAGGGTCATGTGCCAAAAAAAGTGGGGCACTCTATGCAAACTCCCTCAAGTTGGCGTCCGCCCCCACGCCTGTTAGGCGTTCAGAGGTATGCAGTATCCCGGACAGGACCCCGTTAAGATAGGCTATAGAGTTATTTCCATGTGGAAACATATCCTTCCCAATCAAAGCAGTAGATCCGCCTGGGCCTCAAGCGACACACGGTGATACTGTGAACGCCTTAGCAAAATATCGTTGAGCAATCTCGATTCATCCTGATCCGTGGTGCGGAACGAAACCAAATCTACCCGTTCGCATGCTTGCTTCTTCGCAGCTCCTGTTCGTGTGTTTGGATACGGACTGGTTAGATCTACCGGCAACAACAGAGGGCACGCAGATGGGGCATATGTACACCTTGAAATGGTTGCATGTGCGGGGACCCCTCGAACTCCAAAGAGGGCTTCACTTCTCCCTACTCGTCTTCCCCTTTCAAGCAAAGGACATATACGAACACACTAGTGTCAGTCCCTCGAGGGAGAGTTCTTTAGGAATGTCAGGTAGCAAAGATGGGGGTGACTCCTCCAGCGACTCTGCGGCGGAAGACAGAAAGAGGTCAAGAGAAGAGCTCGTGGCCCTGAGGACGCAGGTTAGCTCGCTGACGGATCAGATGAGCCAGCTAATGTCGCTAGTGGAAGANGGGGTACCAAAGTGTGCGGTACACTTCTCCTCCGTTCAGCGGGAAATCGAAAGATTTCAACGAATGGCTAAATGATTTCCGCGTGGCAGCTAATGGCGCAAACCTGTTGGAACAATTTGAAGAGAGCGGGAGCTTGGAGATCCCCGTCAACAGCGGAAAGAGCAAGTTTTCGCTGTCACAGCAGTACCAGTGCGAGCGAGTAGAGCTCGCATTCCACGCGTGAAACTTCCTGTCTCACGCGTTGAAAGAAAAAGATCGGAAAATCATGAAGAGGGCAGAGACGCCCCAGGGAGCTCTTCGTGAGCTCAAGACCATACACGACCCTGAATCATCTGTACAGCCGTCAGAGAACCTCAAGTCCCTGACGTCGACCAAGATCTCTAGAGGTGAAAACCCCCAAAACTCCCTCAATGAGATGCTCCAAACCGCAAAGTCCTTTACCGAGAAAGGACTAACTGTTAACGAAACGTTCGTCCTTCACCTCTTCCTGGATGCCCTTTCGGACGAGTATGCCATGACAAAGCACAACCTGCGACACGCGAAGGAGTTGACGCGGACCGGTGTGCTAAAGGAAGTAATGATCGAATACAAGGCGATCAAGGACAAGCTGGAGCAGGGAAAAGGAAAAGGGGCGAAGGGCGCAGAGCAAGCGTACTTCGCCGACGTTGAGGGCCGCAGGGAGCGGTACTCAAGTAGGAGTCAGGGGCAAGGTCGTGGTCGTGGCGGCGGCCGTGGCTGCAGCAGCGGTCGTCGCCGCGGCGTAGGCGGTCGCGGCGGCCGCTCAGGCGGATCCAGAGGAGTCGAGTAGATCAAGGGAAGCAGCAATGGAGGCGCCGATGGCGGCGGTGGCGGGGACTATAAGTTCCCGGGCCGGTGCTTTAGGTGTGGACATCGTGGACATCAAGCGATCGGCTGCACTACCAACGAGAAAGAGTTCGTGCCGTGGTGTGAGCGCTGCGAGGGGTGAGGCCACACCAAAGAAAAGTGCGCGACGGAGGAGGCCGTCCTAGCGCAAGTGGTGGAGCATGAGAGCGACGTGGACTCCGTGGAAGACCAGGCGTTTTGTGCCGTGGCAGTCCCCCCAGGCGAGTGTGGTACCGTTGGTGAAGTAGGTCT